ATATCTCATTATTATGACATCAGTTGTGCACGTTAATAGCATACTGGGCACATATTAATGACAGAAGAAGACTCATATTAATATCTCAATACCTGTTTAAAAAGTAAACTACAAAGTATATATGTATTCTTTTAGAGTTTGAAATCCTTTTATATAATAAAATTTTCTTTTACTTCTTTTCTACAATTTTGATATTTTAATATTTTTGTGTTTATTAATAACAATTTGATTAGAGAAATTATCAAAAATTTTGTGCTCAATTATTTACGTAATTGGAAATATACGATATTTGAACTCATTTTTATTGGAAGAATTTAAAAATCTGTTTATATTCTAAAAGATAAATGGCACAATTAATTCCATGAAATTACGCAATTTTATAATCACGCAACGCAATTTTTATATATTGATTGCAATTAACTGATAGCGAGATGTCCTAGTTTCTTTTATATTTCTATTTTTTCGTCTTAATAAATTCAACTAAAATAATGTAAATACACATGCCGAGTTTGCTAATCAGGATTTTCTTTTGTGTAAATAAAGTTAAGAAATCAAGAAAACATCTTTTCAATATAATATATATACAGGATGTCGATAGTACAGGCGAAGAGATGATTATACATAAAAAAATAAGTCGAAAATAAAAAATAAAATTTTTTTTTTAAGGCTTTGTTTTTGTAAATCAATTTTTAATATTTTCCGAGTACGCGAGAATACAGAGAGAGAGAGAGAGAGAGAGAGAAAAGAGAGGGTATTATAACAATTGCCATAATTTTTCAAAAATGTCCCTGTTGTTACATAACAAATGGTAATAAACAAATATAAGTAATAAATTATAATAAAAATAATCAAAGAGTGTTTATTCAATAAAATATCTGGATTATTTTAACTTTTTAAAATAATAACATAATTGAAGACAATATTAAAACAAATATCGATATCATAAGCTGTTCTTCTTTAACGTTGGTCTTCGAAGTTGCTTTTCTATTAATGTAATTTCTTAAAAAAATTAGTCTATATACATAAATTATTACAAGATTATACTATTATTCGCTGAAAGGTTTAAAGTAAGATAAAATGTTTATAACACGAATATGTGAAATCAAATTTATTTATGTCACAAATATATACCCAGTGTTAAAAGAGTACATTCTACTTATGAAAATTGTTTTGTTAATAACTTCTTAATGAATAACGAG